CACTTGTCCTTAAGTTTAAAAGAAGAATAGCGGTTGTGAAAAGAGTGAGCATCCTCCTAAAAAGATTCTGTAGGAGATAACTTGTCCTAATATACTAAAACCAAGTGCTAATTATTAACTGAACGAGAATCAAGAATTGCTTTCAATACAGGGTGAATTTCACCTTGGGTAAGAATAGGTAAAGTGGGTTCAATGAGAACTGAAGTTCCATGAAAAAGTTTAAAGTAGTACACATGAAAAACAAGGTGTAGTTTGGAGGAGGAGGGAAGGTCTAATTTACAAGCCATAAAACCCACTTTGGCTAAAAAAGAAAAATGACCATAATAACGGGGTGAGAGTTTAATGTACCTATTGGAAGAGAGACTAAATTGGCAATGAGGTTGAAGTTTAAGTAGAACTTGATCACCTAGATGTTATTGAAAACATGATGTTTAGTATCATACCTTGCCTTCATGGAATTTTGAGCTTGAAGTAATCGGTTGTGAAGGTCTTAGAGCACCACATCACTTCAAATGGAATAGCTTTAAAGAAAGAGTGGCAACTAGTGTTATAGTACTCCACCCAAGACAACCATTGAAACTAGTGGCAAAAACTGTCAATTGTAAAACAACGTAGATACATCTCGATAATGACATATACAATCTTTGTTTGTCTGTCACTTTGTGGGTGATAAGCAGAGTTGAAAGCCAATTTAGTTCCATTCAACCATAACAATTTAGTCTAAAATAAACTCGTGAACGTTACATCACGATCACTAATAATAGTCTTAGGCAAGCTATGAAGTTTGAAAATATTATCAAAGAATAAGCAGGCCTACACTCACATCATTATATGGATGAGTAAGGGGAGCGAGATGTACATACTTTGAAAAATGATCTACCACAACCAATAAAACAAACTTCCTTTAAGAGGTAGAGAGTCCCTCAATGAAATCTATAGAGATATTCGACCATATCTGAAGCGAAACTAGCAAAGATTGGAGAAGCCCCGTAGGATGCAAGCGTTTAGTCTTGTGTTCTTGGCAGGCAAGATATTTTCGCATAAAAGCTTGGATAGAAGTCTTCATTCCTTGCCATTAGAAATCATGGGTGGCACGATGAAGTGTTTTATGATATCCCTTATGGCTATTATTATGGACAACTGAGATAATATTTTGCTTAGCAAATAAACTTGCTGCATAAAGAAAAGCAAGCCATCCTTACACTCCTAGGGCCTTATAGCTTTGCCTTGCTGTATATTTTGCTTTAACTGTTGCAATTGGTATGAATTTTGAATCTTTGTGCGAATGGAATCAAAAAGAGATAAATGAGGCATTGAAAGTGAAGCAAGATTAGGTTGGCCCTCTAAACAGTGGGATAAAGCATCTGCCACTTTATTTTGTTTACCCGCGTGATATTCCACTGCAAAATCAAAACCCATAAGTTTATGTAGCTAGTGTTGTTGTGGTGAAATGATGATGTGTTGTTCTAGTAAAAACTTAAGGCTGTAATTGTTTGTCCGGACAAGGAAGTAGTGCCCTCATAAATATGCTCGCTAATGTCTGGTTGCTTTGTTTAAGGCAATAAGCTCCTTTTCATAAGTTAGAGGACTTTTATAACAGAATGTAAAAGGTCTGCTGAAATGTGCAATTGACTGAACTTTTTGTTATAACACTACTCCCATTCTTGTATCCAAGACATCACATTCCAAAATAAACAGTATGGTAAAGTTGGGTAGTGTCAAAATAGTGGTGCAGGTCATAATAATTTTTAATTGGTCAAATGCTTGAGCTATATCCTCTATCCATTTGAATGAATCCCTGTGTAACATAGCTGTAAGAGGACTTGCAATTGTGCTATAATTTTGGACAAATTTTTGGTTATGGATGGTAAGGCCCAAGTAATCCTTTCACAGTGCTCGACTTTGACCAATCAGTTATGGCTGTAAATTTGTTTTTGTCTACTATAACCCCTTCTCTTGATATAATATGTTCGATGTTGGAGACTTGGAGTTGAGCAATAAAACATTTGGATCTCTTGAAAAATAATTGATTAGTAGTAAGGATACTGAAGATAAGCCGCAAGTGCATTAGATGATTTGCGTAGGAGTGACTATATATAAGAATATTATAAAAAAAATATGAATGAATTTCCATAGGTATGATTGAAATACCTCATTCATCAAAGCTTGGAATGTGCTAAGTGCGTTGGTGAGATCAAAAGGCATATCCAAAAACTTGAAATGGCTATGGTGGGTGCAAAATGCTATATTCTTCATGTATATAGGGTACATTCCTTACCCCTTCATCAAACTTCTTCGTGTGAGTTTGATATTATGATGTATAATGTTTTTCAATTTAAAATACATCAAAACAATGTTGTCCTTAAAAATATAAAATTGTGAGATTTTTTTTTCAATTTTATCATCTAACATTAGATTTACTGGTTATTAAAATTTATAATTTGCCTTGATTTATTTTTCATGGAGCTATCCTAATCTCTTTACCTGATTTTAACAGTTAACCCGAGTTAACATAGGTCATTATTTTTTATTTTATTTTATTTTCAATACAATTATTTAAAATTGGGTTGATTGAGAATTAAGTTTCATAATTTATTTTTTATTTACTTTCAATGGAGTTATCACAATCTTATAATCTGGGTAATGAGTTAAGCTAACTGATTTTAATTTTTTTTTCTAGTTGATTTTTTTTCATTTTATCCTTAAATATTAGGTTGACTGAGAATTAGACTTCATAATTTATTTTAATATGCATTTTACAAGGGTTTTCTAGTTTTATGACCCGAGTTATGAGTTTGTTTTGTTGATTTATGTGTTTTTTAAAATTGTTTTTAATCTTATCTTTCAACATTGAATTGATTGTGAATTAAGCTCATAATTTATTTTAATGTGCTTTTTATGAGATTATCCCAATCTTATGATCTAGGTCTAGAAGGTTAATCTAGGTTAACTTAGCTTGATTTTTTTTTATTTTTAACTTAAATCTTTTTAGTTGAATATAGTTTTCAACTTTATTTTTCAATATTAGGTAGAATGAGAATTGTGTTTAATATTTTTTTTAATTTATTTTTTATAGAATTATCAGAGTCTTATAACCTAGGTAATAGATTTGACAAGGTAATCTAAGTTGATCCGATTTGATTTAATATGTTGTTATTTCAATACTTAAAAAAAATATCATCTTGATTTTTATTAGTTAAACTCTATTTTTTTCGGTTATCTAAGATATCTTTAAATTCATCAAGTTAGTTAAATTAGACTAAATCAATCCCTATATAACTTAATTTGTTTCTACAAAAAAAATATATTAAAAACGATATTATATCAAAAAACATAATTTCATTTGCCTGAAGCAGGCCACGCTCAATTATCTAGTTGTTGGCTAAGCTGACTATAATACCCCATACAACACTCATCAAAGGAAGCATGACAAACATATGACCATGGAGCCATATGGATTTTGAAAAGGACTATATTGAAATTATTTTTAGATGAAAAGTTTTGCATAAGTTTAATAGAATCATTGGACATCTCGAATTCCTCCATGGCTAGCATAACAACACCCTTGTTATCTACTCTTCCACCGTAGCAATTCCTTCACAATAATTTGCTTACATAAATTAAAAAAAAATATTGGAAGGGGAAAATCTTTTAGAAAAAAATGGCTCCATGTATCTCTTATGCTTTAGATGTTATTTCCATTTTATCCTTACATGTTTAATTTTAATTAACCCATCTTTAAAAAATAATTATAGCGTCTTCAAGCTCTCATTTTATTGTACTTTTATCTTTGAAACTAATAAAAATATATCAAATTACACATGATCAAGTTCATATTTATGTGTTCAAAACATCAACAAGAAACAATAGAGAAAAATAAAAAGATTTGAGATTTTAGTTAAGGTTCCATAAACTTAAATTAAATACACTAATTTATACGATATATATGTGTGTGTTCTTTGAAGGGCTTGTATTTCTCAATTAACACACACACACACACACACACACATATATATATATATATAAACAAGAGAAAAAGATCGTCTAAGAGCCTTCAAAATCCAACTTGGGCTATAATTTGTGTCAATCTAACTATATCTAAAACTAGGCCCATCTTTCGTAACATCGAAAACCAAACACGGCTACCGTTTGCTGAGATGAGCCTGTTTAATGCACAGACAACCACTATTCATTAGGGTTGAGCCTGCGCTTTTCGCTTCGCTTCATCTTATAGTTGGAGCTTGAGTAAGTCCATCTTAGAGTTATCATGGCCACTCAAATCAGTAAGAAACGCAAGGTAAATTCTAACAAGATTTGATTTTCTCCTCTCTAGTGAAACAAAAGAAGAATCTGATGAATTCGTTTTATAGTTTGTTGCGGATGGAGTTTTCTACGCAGAACTGAACGAGGTATTGACTAGAGAATTGGCTGAGGATGGATACTCTGGTGTTGAGGTTAGGGTTACTCCCATGCGCACCGAGATCATCATCAGGGCTACTCGTACCCAAAATGTTCTTGGTAATCTTTTCCTCCTCCTCTTCTTTTTTTTTCCCCTCAATCAAATGAACAATATTTTATTCAGATTCTCTGTTATGTTTGTTTAGGTGAGAAGGGAAGGAGGATCAGGGAGCTCACTTCCGTTGTCCAGAAACGTTTCAAGTTTCCGGAGAATGGTGTCGAGCTCTATGCTGAGAAAGTTAACAACAGGGGTCTCTGTGCCATTGCGCAGGCCGAGTCTCTTCGTTACAAGCTCCTTGGAGGTCTTGCTGTTCGCAGGTATCTTCACTTATCTGGTTATCTATCTACGCGCTGGTTTGCTGTCTACCTGCTTGTTTTGCTTGCATGTGAATTCTCTTGTTCTGTTCACCAAGTCATCTTTACAGCGAGTTGGGTTATTTTAAAATGTCCATCTCGTGTCTGAGGGTGACAATATTTGTTAATGCCATCAATTCCTTATGATCCAAGGATTGCAACTGTTGTTCCTTGCACTGAACTTCTGATGGTAGATGCCACCTTTGTATGACCAATCATTATTGGGTGAGCCTTGCAGATTAGGAAAACAATTTCCTGGCATGTGTACCCTTGTAGCTACACTAGTATCGTTTATATCACGTGCAATATGATCCAGTGCATTGTTATGATGTTTTTTCTCGAGTAATATCTTTTCGGCCTTTTCTTTTTTTTGGAAAAGAATGATTGTCGAGTTCAAGAAAGTGCTTTTTCGTTGTTGATCATTATAGTTCCTAAAAATATTGTGGATTTTGACTTTATTAATGTCATGCTGTGCATGGAGAGCATGAATGTTTCATTATTAGATGCTTTTTCATTACATAAATGGATTGGACGATTGTACTTATCACCACTGTATTATATACATCTTTGGTTATCTTTAACAATGAGGAAACAGTGCTTAGATAAATTTTATGCTAGGAATCTGTCTGGCTTCTTGCTCTGCTATTAAGGGCCTGGAGTTTAGATTTCAGAACATTTTTCTACATCCCTCTTATTTTATTCTCATTAATTGGATGTAAACATTTGTACATGAATGACCTCACACAGTCAGCGGGATTGAAAATTCTGTTATTTTAGTTTGTTATGTTGCTTTTCTTTTGTTTATCATTCTTCTCTGCCCTTGTTGCTATTTGGTGGGTGCTGCACCGTGTGGAACTCTTCATCAATGTTGTTGGATCTGGAATACAGCTTTCTCCTGTTGGTCCCTTCAAGTGCCAATGTGTTTGAATTTAAGGTTTTATATTTTGATGGCTTCATTTGGTTATCAGATTGAGTGATGGACATGAAAATGTTTATTAATCCCCTACTTCTCAAACACTTCTTTATGCTTTGATCCCTTTAAATAGATAAACTGAGTCTGCATGCGTGCATTTTGTTCCCATTGGAAATTGTGTTTGTGGTCAAATTTTTGTTACTTTGACAGGGCTTGTTATGGAGTGTTGAGGTTTGTAATGGAGAGTGGGGCAAAAGGATGTGAGGTATGCTTCAAGAGTTCGGTTTCTTGATTTTTTTGGGCATTGTGGCAGTTATTTGAAATTTTGATTCACTCACATAACGACACAGGTTATTGTGAGTGGAAAGCTTCGGGCACAGCGTGCCAAATCCATGAAATTCAAGGATGGGTACATGATATCCTCTGGCCAACCTGTTAAAGAGTATATTGATTCAGCTGTTAGGCATGTTCTTCTTAGACAGGTCAGTTTCTTGTCTTGTCTTTCTCTTGCAGACTATCACGGTCTACAATTCCAGCAACCATTGTATTTGCCCATTGTTTGCAACCTCAATGGTTGTAGTTGACCATTGTTTGCAACCTTATTCATATTGACTCTTTTTTTGTCTGATTGTTTGTGTTTTCTTTATAACCTTCTCTGGCAACAGGGTGTGCTTGGTATCAAGGTCAAGATCATGCTTGACTGGGATCCGAAGGGCAAGGTTGGTCCAATGACACCATTACCTGATCTGGTCACAATCCATCCTCCCAAGGAAGAAGAAGAGTATGTTCCACCATTGTTGACAACCAATATTGAGATCCCAGTAGCATAAATCACGAGCTTGGTTGTTTTCTAGTATCCAAGAATAGGTTTTTTGTTCCTAAATGTGGGGCGGAGGATAATAGCTCTACTTGTGTATGAAGGAAGAGTTGGTTTTTGCTTTGGTCCAATTGACTTCTCAAATCTGTCTCAAAACGGTACTAATCCAGGATTAGCCCTGGGCCTTTTTGTTTCTATATTGCTTTGCAATCATTTAACCAATGCCTTTATCTCAGTTTTACTCCAGAATGTTCCTTTTTAATCAATGTTTTTTTATTTACGTATTCTTGAAATTCATTTTGATGGAAAATTCTGCTAGGGTAACAAATAGTCTTTGTGGGTTTCTTTATTTTATGTTCATCTTTTCAAACCTTTTAAAAAGGTAGCTCCTGCAATGAAGGGATTTGCCCCGACAGCTGGCGAATGTTTTGGTAAGTTCGATGATCCTCGTGAATGTATTATTATTTGATGATCATATTAGGAGTGAGCATTTTCAGTTTTGTTTGATTTTTGATAAATAAAACCAGCCAAACTGAATTTATATATATTCAGAATTGGACCGAACTAGAAACTTGTTTTTGGTTCAGTTTGGTTTTGTTATGTTTTGACCTTTTGATAGTTATACCCAGATATTCAATTTGTTTGAGCTTTCATAAGTGTTTTATTTTATAGCTAAATTCAAATTTTAGTCTCCAGACATGCGCTGTTTTATTATTCTTCAAGTTACTTCAACTACCATTAGTATACTTTTAGAACTATATAGAATAGAATTTTAAATACATATAGCATCATGGCTTCGATCATTGAAGGTTTCTTTTCTCCCACCTTTTGATTTGATGGCTTGATTTTCTAATCCATTTATTTCTACAGTCTCACCGCCTTGTACAAAAGGGCTGAAGAGCTGCGTTCCTTTAGCAAGCAGCCGAGAACCCACCAGCCTAGACCTGACAAGATGAAAGAAAACCAGCCATTAGCATTCAGCACCCTTTCAGAATACTCTATTCACAATGCTTACAGAATTAAAATTGCGCAATCCAATTGCACAAATGATTGAAAAAAAAGCAACCCATTTTGTTAACCAAATACCAGGCAAAAGCTTTTGATATATGCTGATACAAATCAATAGATTAGAAAACATGCAGCTATATTCAGAGTGTTATAAATGGCCAAGTTATATAATTATTGACAAAGCTACATGTGGGTTCTAGACACCATGACTAGCCCTAAATATGGTGCTAAGAGCTGTTAATTTATGATTGCTGATTAGATCAGTCCTCAAACTTTCTACAAAATGTGCAGGCATGCTGCCATCTGCTACAAGCATATTCATCTCATGCACATGGCAGGGAAATTGAACGTCAAAAGATTACCTACAATGGTGCTTAGAGACCAGGAGCTAGATAAGTCTACAACTGACAGGGCAAACATCACAAACAACAGTGATGAATGCTCGTTGCCTTCCTTTCTTCTGGAGCTACACAAGTCTACCATAGAAATTGCATAAATGAAATAAGAATTACCGATTTAGTAGCAGTGATGAATGCTCGTTGCCTTCCTTCTCTAGAGAGCACTTTCCACACCAACTCGAGAAATCTTTTTGATATTTCTTCATCTTTTTGAAGACCGAACTGTATAGAGACAACACAACAAACTTTGAAGAGATCAAATGCTTGCCAGTACAAGTGAAGTTCAATGTGAGAGGCCTTTACTCCTTCAATCTCATATTTAACTGTAATCAAATTATTTCTTTTCTTGAAGTCATGTGATGTAAGATTTACATGCAAGGAAAGGAAATACCTTCTGCACAACAGGAGTAAATTGATCCTATGACCAGATTGTGGTTCTAGCACCTTCAGCAGACCTTTGCTGGTTAGCTTTCAATAATTTTGGTAACAGCTTCCATAGCCTCGGACGTGTTCTCAAATTTGGAAAAAAGTTTTCAATTTCACTGCCCGGTGTTGGGTATCAAATAACAGTTAACTTCAAGCCCGATAAAGCTAAATACAAGCACTACAAAAGGAATTACTTCCCATAACAGGCATGGCAACCAATTTGAACAGAGCATATTAAAAGAAAGGCTAGGCACTGTATAGGCATGATTTACTGTATATTATAATAGTGGAATTATATTCTTGCCCATTAGAAAAAAAACCATTATAGCTAGCCTGTAGGGGTAGATTAGTATTTTCATAGGGATCCTTTTGTTATTTTTCAATTGTTGAGGGGCATTTTTGTTAATTTATAAACTTTTTTAATAATGGATCTACCATTCAAAGCAATTTTTTAACTTAATTATGGTTAGGGAAATGGTTGGTTTTTCACTTTTTTTTAGAAGATTGCAATGACCCCGTCACTTTTGAAAGGAAAATTCTCAAAGCATCTTTATTGGGCCAACTTGTCATTTCATAATGGTTTTTTAGCAATTGTTGTTTGATCTTCCACGTGATGTTTTTTAACATATATATAAAAAAAACAAAAAGTTGTTGACGCGTGCGCGTGCATAGCACGTATCAACCATTTTGTCATCTTCAAGTGGTGTGTGTGAATGATTGCGGTGGTGGGAAAAAATGTTCAATCGTGCCATTGGATGCATCTTGACATTCTCTTCTTTATTGGGCGACGCATGTATGCTGATAATGTCTGGTTGATTTTACTTTTTTCCCTTCATTTCTCTCTCACATGTCTCAGTTTTCACGTTGCTCATGGAAAAAACACAGCAACCCTTGAACTTTTTTTCTTTTTAGATTCAGTCCCTGTTTTATTTTAAAAAATCACTTCAAATTAGAAAGTTTTTTCAATTTTATCCTCAAGTTTTTCATCTCTTGAATTTGGTCCCCATATTTTTTATTTTTTTAGATGGCTTATAGATTTTATTTGTTTCTTGACAATGGGATGGACTGATTAAAAAATATGAATGTATGATAAATTATCACTCGGGAAAAGCAAGTTTTATGACGGATGCTTTTAGTCATAAAAATAGGGCATCAACTTTGGAATTAGATGATTATAATGAAAAATAATTGTTATAGTTGAGAAAAATTAACACTAAAATAGAGATTGGGCCCGAGGGTTCTTTGTTAGCTCAATTGAAAGTGAGATCAGTATTTCAGGAAAAAAATATTAGGGGCTCAGCTAAATGATATTTAATCTAGTAAGATAAAAGATAAAATTGAATTTAGGGTTGAAACTCCTTTTCAAAATTTAGATAATGGAATGGTGGTAATGAGAAAAAGAATATATGTACCGGAAGATGTAACTTTGAAAGAAGAATTATTGAAAGAGGCGTATAAGACCAAGCTTAATATGCATCATAGAAGTACTAAGATGTATAAAGATTTGAAGAAGTTGTATTGGCAGCCAAATACGAAAAACCAAATAACTAAATATATAACTAGTTATGTTGTCTGTCAATAAGTGAAGGCAGAACATCAAAAATCGACAAGGCCTTTGCAGTCGTTGTTGATACCCTAGTGAAAATGAAAAGATATCACTATGGACTTTATATGTGGTTTACCTAAATGGAAGAAGGGCAACGATGCGATATGGGTGATAATAGATAAACTGACCAAGTCTGCTCTCCTTTTACCTATGAAAATGGATAACTCTGTTGATAAATTGGCCTGATTGTATATAAATAAAGTGGTAAGGTTGCACGGAGTACCCGTGTTGATAGTTTTAAACAAGGATCCTCAGTTTACTTCTCGATTATAGCCAAACATACAACGTGCTTTGGGAGCGAGTTTAAATATGAACACAATTTTTCATCCTCAGACTGATGGACAAACCAAGAGAACAATCCAAATCCTAAAAGATTTATTAAGAGCTTGTGTATTGGAGTTTGGTGGTAACTAGGAAGATCATCTACCCTTAATGAAGTTCACTTATAATAATAGATATCAAGCCATTATAGGAATGGCCCTGTATGAAACTTTATATGGTAGGAGGTGTCAGACTCCTGTATGTTGGGAAGAAGTAGGTGAAAAGAGTTTAATTGGAGCTGAAATTGTTCAGATGGCAATGAAAAAGGTTAAGGTTATAAAGGATCATATGAAAACAGCCCAAGACAATCAGAAAAGTTATGCTGACAAACGAAGAAGACCTCTTGAATTTTATGTATGAGACTGAGTATATTTGAAAGTCGCTTCGTGAAAGCACATGTTAAGATTTGGTATAGAGGGAAAGTTAACACCAATATACATCGGGCCTTATGAAGTGGTAAAGAGAATTAGACATATGGTGTATCAATTGGTGTTGCCCCTGTATTTGACCAAGATTCATAATGTGTTTCATGTTTCTATGTTACTGAAAATAAAGATAAACCTGACTCGAGTGCTACCACAACTTCCTATAGAGATTAAAGAAGATTTGACTTTAGAAGTGAAACCAGTGAAGATTTTGAATTGGAGTGAAAAGGAGCTTTGAAATAAGAAAATTTCTTTAGTCAAGGTGTTATGAAGGAGTTCTTAAATTGAAAAAGAAATGTGGAAAAAGGAGGCGGAGATGAGGAGGAAGTATCCTAGACTTTTCTAAACTCAAGTATAAAATTTTAATTTCGAGTATGAAATTTTTGTTTTAGGAGAGGTGAATGTAAACCTTCGGATAAAATAAAATACAATGGATGTGGAGAAGGGATTAAATTGAACAAATTAATTGGATTAAAAGAGAGGTTATTTAATGAGAGAGGTGAAATTGAAAACAATTTTTAGAGTAAGGAATCTTAACCCAATACTTGTTAACATTAGATTTAGAAATAATATAGGCAAAATATGATAGCATAACATAACAAATCATTAGCAAGTGAAGATAAAATCAGTAATGCAGTTTACCTTAGGTAAGATGTTTTAGTGGTGATAGTATTTTTTTTTAGCGTAACTAGTCTTGTACCATATAATTTCTAAAGACCAATTAGAATTTCTAATGACCATAATACTAAGTGAAGACTCTATAAATAAACCTTTCTTTTATAAGAACAAGATGTCAAATATCTATTTCTGTTTTCCTCTAATTTTTAAAGGTCATCGTGGTGTCGAGTGTGACAAAATGACAACTCCACTAGAGACTTTTAGACTAAGCTTTTCTTTTTGTCTTTCTATTACTATTTTATTTGTTGTGTTTGTTTATTTTTTTCCTTTTACTGTTTTAGCATGCATTCATATTTATATGATTATGCATTATTTTTAAGAGCACACGTCCTAAACTTTAGGATAGATAAGGAAGTAACAGTACCCAAATTACTTTAGCTTGAACAACACTCATGAAATTATCCAACTTTTGCTTGATTATT